ATTTCCAAAATCAAAATGGAAACTGTCTAATTTCTAAATTATTTCGGTGATAAAATACATAACACTTGACATCCATCCTTGGAAATCAAACCCTTGTTGGTCTTAAAATAATTGTTTACGGTAATAATAAAAAAAAACTAGTTTACGATCCAACTCCAGGTTTTTCTTTATTGCAGATGCTGATGGACATAAACACATACTACTTAAATTTAAAACAAAAGAGGAAAAGTTCTGTGAGCTATTTTTTTCGTGTTTCTATTACTCACAACACAAAAAAAAAGTAGATTCGTGTTGCAAAAAAAGTCGTAGAGGTTGGCGTGAAATTTGAAGAATTAAAATAGCTTGTTTTACGATGTTAAAAAATTAGATAACGTAAATAGCGTTTTTGTCTTGACGTAGGATAGTCTTAAGCTTTTTCTTACGAGAGTTTTTCCTTTGTTTTTCTTTCATGATATTCGAAAAAAACCTTTTTTAATTGCTCCGTCTTTCATCGTACAAAGTTGGGAGGGTGCAAAATTTTCATAAGAGGCTTCTTTTGAAATAAACATGAATACGGTATTTATGCAATATAAACATTTTCTATTATCGCCAAAACCGGAAACATCCTAAATTCGGCGGTTGAATTAAATGAGTGTTAATTGGAACGCTTAACTGCGGGATCCGCGATATGCGGTACCTCGAAAGCTTCTGCGACCTTTCGGTTTTAATCCTTGCTATCTTTCATACTATTCAATTAGCCGTTGTCGTTCGTTTCTAATTTTAGCACAACGGGGCGCCCCGTTTCGAATTCCCGCTCGATGCAAATTTTGTTTACGCTTCTTTCCTGTTTTCCAGACAATGCGATTGACTAGGATGTCGATCGTAGGGGCTGGCATCTATGATTCTCCTCATTTATGCCAGGTTTTATACTTTTAACAAAATTGCTTTGGCCAATACAACTTAACTTAGCTAAACAAAATTCAGTCTTTCAACCAGTAGCCTCAATGTTAGTTGTCTCACATGCAGGACGGAGTCAGTAAAAAATAAATTGATTTCAGGTAGCAAAATCTTGCGAATTAATTCGATTAGATACGGCGGTACAAGGGAACGTGAAATAACAAAGATATTTAATTTAAACACGCATAAGTATTTTACAATTAACAAAGTAAAAAAACCTTTAAAGATAATGTGTGAAGTACATACAAAACCAAAACGTAAAAAAATGTTTAGGTTTTTATTATTTTTATTTTCCACGGTATATTTCACTTTTCCCAAACCAGCCTTAGATCCGAATCGTCAAGAAAATAACAGTTTTTTCCTTTTCACGGAAAAATTCTGATTTTATTGAAAGTGCGTAAAAATGACACATTTTTCGATACTCCAATCATCCTGATAAACTTTTCGTATCAAAAGTTTTTAGAAATTTTAAAATATCACATTACAATTCTCAATCCCATTTGCCCCGGGTCAGCTTTTGTTTAGTCTTTTTCACATATGTCCTAGTTAAACTTGAGCCGGTAACTAATTTTGTTGTCGTCAAAAAAAATATTGGAGGAAAATACAGGGTGTCTTAAATTAATATAGGGTACATAAATTGCTTTATATTGACAAAACTGGGATTCATTAAATTGGGAAATGTTAGTTTTTGATAATAATGATATTCCGATATTTTACATGTAATTCTTCGTTTATAATTGGTTCAAATGTTCATTCATTGTTGAAAAAGTCAAATATCAAGGAGGCTACGTAAAATAATGAAGTTGAAATGAAACCTGGATATTAATGGATGTAAAAAAATTTCAAAATTGTTTTTAAAGTTTGGCATAGTTCCCTATTTTAAATAGACGGGATATTACTGCGCAAAATAAGAAAGTCGATATGAAACCTGATATAAAATTTGAGATTTCGGCGTAATCTTGTTCGTTTGGAAATAATGGTAAATACTTTGGGGGCGGTTATTCAGGACGTAGTATAACTACTGAGATATTCAGGTACCGTACACCATGCGACTCCTTGACTTACAAAAATGGCAAAGAGTGATGAACATTTATGATCTTGTCGGTTGGAATTGCTGAAGTTTTTTCATTTGCATTTGACGCTTATTGCGGGTTAAAGTGGCAACCTTTGCGATAGACGAGTGGAGTTTGCTTCCCATTAATTATTGATTCTTACGGGTTATGGTAATACAAGTACCTGATTAGTGTCAGACGCTACCGCAATATTTATGTATCGCGCTATTCACTATCCCTCTTGTTTTGTCGTTTGTTTTCTTATGTGTTACAGATAAGAGAAAAGCGCCCTTCTGAGCGCAAAAGGATATTACGGACAGAGTAATTTTTGTTTGCGACGATTTAAACGTTGACATTTCAGGTATAGATATACTACAGTGTCCTATTTAATATTTTGAGATCATTATTAATAATCACCCTAAATTGTGGCAGCAATTATTGTTTATATTCTACGCTGTCAATTATTCTATTTCTTTAGCTTGTCAATACCAGAACAAGGGTCTTTTAGTCTCTCTTGTTTTCTCTTTTCCGTAAGTATTCTCTGTTTCCTGTTCTAAACTTTGCTTGGCGGCGTTTATTCGGTATGGCGGCGATGCTACCGGTTGGCAGGGCTTCGTGTTAATCGTGTGGAGGGCCAATGGTGTCGGGGCTCCCCCTGCAGAGAAGACATCCTCGTTTCTCTGGAGCATGACGTTGAGTTGGTCTTGCTCGCTCCTCGAGAGGTGGGTGGCCTCGTCGGCCCGTAGGTGAATGTCTTCTGCCTCTACCATGTAGAGGGAGACGGTGCGTCTGGCTCTCTTCTTGGGTGAATGGGGAAAGATCGTCGGCGGCGGGAGAGGTTGTAATGGCGTGGCAGGCTGCACGGGTAGCGTATCTGCGAATATGCTGTATAGTTCGGCGCTTATGGAGTCTTCCCAGTTGTGGGGTGTCTCCGGGCGGCTAGGGCGGCTTGGACTCCTTCCAAACAGGTGGATGTTTCGGTAGGCCCGTCGTCTTGGGTCTGTTGGGTGGCTGCTCTCCGGTACCTGGGTTGGAATAGTTGGCGGGCTGTACGGTGTAGGCGCGAAAGCCGAAAAGAAGTGGGCAGCCGGCTCCGGTTGAAAAGGATGTTGGCGCGGGTCGCCGATGAATGTCCAGTGTCTTTCTGGTAGGTTTAGAAGTATCCTCGCATCTTCTATGAAATCTACCCCGAGGAGGGTGCGATTTCGGGCTCCTGGGAGGACTAGGAATTCGGTGTGTATCACCCGGTCCACTAGGGTAACTGGCACTGTGGTGGTTAAGACGGTGGTGGGTCTTGGTTTGCCGTCAGCCAACACTAAGTTCACGTCACGTGGCACAAAATCACAATTCGCGGCACAGAGGGTACTATATAAAGTGTGTCCCGCGATACACTGTCGCGCACCTGTGTCAATGTACGCACTTCCTGTTGCACCCGCGATGGTAATGCTTACAATGGGGCGCACACGCGGCGGTGAGGGGTTGCTTGTGTCCGTTAGAAAGAAATCCACTGGCGCAATGCCTGTGCGTTCTTGGCAGTTCGGGCATTGGCTGCGTATTACTCCGGGTTTTCCGCATCCAAAGCATGCGAGGGTGGAGGCGGACGACCTGGTGGTGGGTGGTGTGGAGACTGGAGCTGACGAGGGGGTTGGTGCGGATGGTGCAGCTTCTTCTGCTCGCTTCCTCTTTCGGCAGTCTTCCCGTGTATGTCCCACGTGCTTGCAGTAAGCACATCGCGCCTTCTTCGTCGTTCCCTGGGATTGGGTCTCGTTCTTGGTGGGTGGTGGATCGACCTCTTCTACCTTCCTCAGCTCGCGCTGGAGTTCTTCGAAGGTGGTGAATGTTGATCTTGGGATCTTCTTCCGGATCCTGCGGTGTAGCAGACCGTACACCATGTGTAGTTGTATGGATTCGCTGATTTCCTCCTCAATGTGTGACAGGATGGCCCTCTTCTTCGCTATGAAGAGTTCGGTGGGGTCGTTTGGTCCTTGTTCGCCGTCGAAGAGGTCTCGGAAGAGCCGGTGTGGTGGTTTGGTTGGACCGAACGTTTTGAGCAGAAGGGCGGTGGCGTCGTCCCATTTGCTGACTGTCCGCTTCACCCCTTGCCACCAAGTAGCTGCATCTCCTTCTAATAACATTGACATACCTGTCAGCGCATTTTCCTCGGAGATGGCCGTGCAACTCTTGTAGGTGGTGATGCTGTCCACGAATGCTTCGGCGTCACCTTTCCCGTTGAATCTGGCGGTGCACTTGGCAAAGGATCCGCTGTAGGTCGTCCTGGTGGAGTCGAGGGATTGGATCAGCTCCTTTAACATGTCGCTGGTCATGATGAAAGGTGTGCTGTTGGAGTCTGGCATTTTCTTGGTGTTACTTCTTGTTGTGGGAGGCGTTTTGACTTTTCTTAGCACCACTGGTTGGGCGCCACTTGTTGGTCTTGTATTGGGTAATAATATGTACACGTTACGGAACTCGCGCTTTATTAAGAGCTAGAACATAAACTATATATACATATGTACAACAAAACAAAAGTATATGGGGTTCGTGAGCTAAGAATAAATGTCTATGTACACGTCACACACTGGTAACAGCGCACTTGTATTTAATTCCACGATCGCCCTTGTTCTTACAAGAAAAAGCAAGGGGAAAGCGGTGGTAAAGTTGTTCTGAACGTTTATGCTCAGATGCGATCTTGCGAGAGAAGATGCCAATGGAAGGGTGGCGAAGTTTCTTATACTAGTCGTGCGTATTTGCAAGTGGTAGGTTTTCAGGTGTCGTCCTCTAGCGCGGGGTTAAAGTAGTGGGTGCGCGGGCATCTACATCTTGGGGTAGATCGCGCGCTCCGTACTCTCGCGGCTGCTGCGGGGTATTCGTAAACGGGTGCCTGTAAGGTTTGGCGCGTCTCTGTTTTGGCGG